ACTCACCTCAGCCTCCCAAAGGCACGGGATTACAGGCTGAGCCACCGAGCCTGGCTTGACGCACAATTTGACTAATTTTTGCAGTGTTTTCATCAGTTCTGCTCATTACTGGTTGTGCTGACCTCTCTTCATCAGTGATGCTTTCTCTCCCTTCAGAAAAACACTTAATCCATCACTGCTGTTTTCTTCATGGCATTATCCCCATAAACCTGGACTAACATGTCCCTCACTTCACTTCCACTCTTGCCAAGTTTAACATGAAGCATAATGTTTGTTCATTGCTCTAATTCTTGCAACAGTGCACAAAATCTTGCAACAGCAATAATGAACGCCCCTCAACGAGATACTGCCACACGTCAACATGAACACAGCTGTGAGATGCTGATATACCAAGATTATGAAGCCTTACCAAGTTGTTTGTACAGTGCTGCTAACATAAGCGCATAGTAACAAGCTCATGAGCTTAATTGTCAGACCTCATATGTCTGTGAAAATCCGTTGAAAAGTTTGGGCATCTGGTTGCTTCTGGAAGCAGTGACTTCCTCATTTTGTGAAGAGGTGTAAAGCTCCCGGGTTAGGCAATGGATGGGTTGAATGAATCCCTAAACGTGGAGACAAATTGTCTACGTGCTCAAGTCAGGTGATACGTCAGAGCTTGGAGCCCAAGACACAGCTAGTGACATCTGTCAGTGCCTCGAAACAGCTTCTTTGGGAGTAGCCATTTAATAAACTTCCCCTAAAAAGTACCTTTCTGTGTGTGTAACACAAAGTTCATGCTTTTCTCCCAGAGACTGTTGCCGCTTTCCTGCGGGTCAGAAGTAATTGACACCCTTTGCCATCTGAAATACAGTCCAACCATATATCTATTCCTTTTACCCTCATCACGGCATTGCAGTAGCCTTCATAGATCCTTAGGCTCGGGAAAATCTTATTTTTCTTTTTTTTCCTCTTTGAATTTTTATTTTGAAATCGTGGGGTACAATTCAGGGTTAGTATACAGATGTTCTTTGTGCAGGTACCCTTATTGATGAGGTGTGTCCTCCCTTCCCCAGGTAGATATCCACTACCCACTACTGTCAATCCCAGCTCTCCCTGCCAACCCCCCCCCCCCCCCCCCCCCCACTGCCCACAATTTTCTGCTACTTTCAATCCCTTTCCTACAGTAATATGGTAGTTGGTCAAGGTCCACTTATGAGTGAGAACATGTGATACTCAGCTCTTTGTTTCTGTGAGAGATCACTCAGTATTCTAAACTCTAATTCCATCCAGGTTGCTGCGAAATTCATGATTTTGTTCTTCTTTATGACTGCGTAATATTCCATTGTATATATGTACCACATTTTTTTAATCCAGTCCTCTTTTGATGGGCAGCACAGTTGGTTCCATGTTCTTGCTATTGTGAACAATGCTGCTCTTATTTTAGATTCAAGGGGTTCATGTGAAGATGTGTGAAGGTATCTTGGATGATGGTGAGGTCTGGGCTTCTGTTAAGCACCCCCTCACTCCAGCTGTGAGCATGGTACCCGTTGGGTGGTCATACATCCTATTTTTTAACAAAGTTTGTGTTGTCCGCCTGCAGTCTTACCACTTTGCCTCTGCTTACCTTTCTTTCCTCCCTGTGCATCCATTACCATGCCGGTCATAGAGAGGGGTAGCAGATTCAGGGAAGCAGATCCCTATAAAAACAGGGAGACAAAGAGACCAGAAGGAGAGGTGTGGGAATTTCTTTTAAGCCATTCTTTCTCATGTCCACTGGATCACTGTGATGTCCTCTAGACCCTGTTAATGCATGGGGAGTATCGGACTCATGTTATCCGGTGTCTGTGGGGAGTGTGAGCCAGGCCTAGGAAGCAAGTCAGAGTGCAGCCCGCCTGGCAAACATTGCTCCAGGAACACGCCGGGACCCACTCACCGACCTCAGAGCAACTGCTGCTGCTCCCAGTCCTCCTTGTAAGCCCTTTAACTGGCCAGGATGAGGTCAGTGAGGTCCACGCTGGCCATGTTCCTCCACACTCGTGCTTCCTTCTGTATTGAGGTGTTTTGAGGATACATGGCTTCTTTCCAAGGCGTCTTATTTCCACACCTCCATCTGAGCTTCCCAACTTGCAGATGAAGCCCCCCTCTGACTACCTTGGTGACACCGGCATCAACCACGCTGAAGATCTCTTTCTGCCACCCACCCACCCCAAGAGCCATTTCAGACCTTACTGCCTCCGTTGGAACTGTTGACATTGTCTGAAAAGTCTTCTTTGCCCCTCCTCCACCTCCACCTGCCAGTTCCTGTTTCCTGGTTAATTTCTATTTATCCTGTAAGATGGAGCTCACTTATCCTGTCCTTTGGGAAACTCTCCCTGGATGCCTTCTCTCTGGGACTCACCCTGGTGTGTGTTCACCATTTGACTTTAAGCCCCTTGAGGGGAAGGAAGGTTTGCATCTCTGTATTCCGGAGGGCTACTTGACTTGGAATGTGCATCAATTGATGTCTGTTCAGCTAAACCCAACTCTTCCGTTTCAAACACGACTGCTTGTCAACAGGAGTGCGTATTGGTTGTTTTTTGGTTTTTTTTTTTATCACACTGAGAATGCTGATGAGGAGAAGAACTTTTCTGCCGCAAACTGATAAGAATCTCTGGGTGATTATTGGGGCCTGGGCTGTTTTGTTTTCTTTTGTTTTACTTAGATGGGCAGATTCAGAAATTAGTTTTTGTATCAGAATCATACCATTTTGAACCAGACAGAAACCAGGAAAAGCTTATGCAGTTTGTCCCGAGTCTTTCAGGCAGCAAGCAGTGGGGACATACCCCATGAAGTTCCTATAACATCTTGCTCTCCTCACTTTAAAAACATTCTCTGTGTGTTTGACATTTTAAAGGTAAGCAGTACCAAACATATTTTAAAATTCTGACATGGCTTGTAAGGCCAAATGCGACATTCCCTGGCATAATCATACCAGAGGGCCACATTATGCTCCTTCAGTTTCCTGACCAGAGTTGAACTGAGCATGTTGTCCCAGCCACATGATTCCAGAGAGGGGGACCAGTTTTGCTTGGGGCGTTTACAGTTGTACAATTTGTAATTTCCTCTAATCTATCATATTACCACGATCACGACTGAAATGCTTTTCAATGGTTAAACAGATTTTCATGCTTAAATAGGTTTCAAGTTCTGTGTTAAAACGCTGGTATTATACATTCTTGGGTGAAATGAGCAAGAATAGGAAAGTGACATTTTTGGAGGTGATACTACACAGAACAGTTCCAGAACTGTTTATGGTATTGTCTTATGCTTTTTAGAAATGTAATTTGGTGATTCACTTTTTTATTTCCCCCAGCAAGAACGTGTGTGTAATCTCTCCCCGATGTCAATGTTCTTTCCAGGTGACTTTCCAGATCACCCCTCCATGTCACAGTGAGAGGCATTATGAGCATCTGGGACGGTGCTGTAACAAATGTGAACCAGGTACATCTGCTTCTGAGCCACCTTCCATGGCTCCTCAAAAGTGGGTGAGGCCGGGTGCAGTGGCTACGCCTGTAATGCCAGCACTTTGGGAGGCCAAGGCTCACTTGAGCCCAGGAGTTCAAGACCAGCCTAGGCAGCATAGTGAAACCTCATCTCTACAACAAAAAAAAAAGAAAGAAAAAAAAGCCAGGAACAGTGACACATGCCTGTCGTCACTACTTGGGAGGCTGAGGTGGGAGGATTGCTTGAGCCTGGGAAGTTGAGACTACAGTAAGTTGTCATCGTGCCACTGCACTCCAGCCTGGGTGACGGGGTGAGATCCTGACTCAGAAAAATAATAATAATAATAACAAAAAACTTTTTTAAGTGGGCGAGCCTTTCATTGTTATTCTTTTCTGTCCTGCAAGATGAAAAAAAGAAATTGGATAGACTTTTTGTGGTAGTGGCAAGTGGTAATGTCTGTCACTCTGAAGACAAAAATCTTTCTCTCAATAGCTAAAATCACTTTAAAATAAAAATCAGTTTTAAACACTGGTACTTAATTTGTGCTGCAACACAGTTTTCAAAAAAACTATATCTTGGGATGACAAGGAAGTCTTTTATGATTCAGACTCCCAAAATGTGACGTGCAGCTCGTATTTAAAATCATTTTCACAGAAAGTTTGTTCTAGAGTAACCATACTGGAATTGTTGCTCCCGAAAACTACCTAGGCCCTTATTACACCTTCTCCCACATACCTGCTGAGGAGTCAAGGTGGACGGGCCACCACCTTTCCAAAGTTGTTCTGCCAGGAGTGTGGCCAACTATTTCGACAGCCCCAGTGAAATTCTCAGTCCGCTGCATCCTCCCTCTCTCACTGTTCTGGGCAGAGGAAGGAAGGGGAGAGGAAGGTGGGTTACCTTACAGCAAGATCTTTTGTTATAAGCTACAACTATACCTTGGATGTGCAGAACCAAGATACTGTGATTTCCAAGTCTGTGGTGGGGAGTGAGAGGGTGTGACTCTTGGTCAAAACCATGACGTACACAAGAAGAATTATGCAGAAAACCCGGGCTCGGTGGCTCAGCCTGTAATCCCACGCCTTTGGGAGGCTGAGGTGAGTGGATTGCCTGAGCCCGTGGGTTCGGGACCCGCCTGGGCAGTGAGGCCTCATCTCTACAATAAATCAAAAAATCAACCGGGCGTGGTAGTGCATGACTGTAGTTCCGGCTACTCGGAAGGCTGAGGTGGAAGGATCGCCAGAGCCCAGCAGGTCGAGGCTGTGGTGGCTGGGAGTGGCCACTGCACTCCAGTCTGGGCGACAGAGTGAGACTCCAACTCAAAAAAAAAAAAGAATTATACAGATGGAAGGCAGAGGGGAGTTTGGAAATGGGAGGGAGAAGGCAGTAATGAAATTCCTTTTGCTTAGCCCACTTTGCCCCTGAATGAATTCCAGGGAACCCCTTGTGTTCTCCAGGGTCCAGTTTAAAACCATAGTTCTACTTTGGGGTATAAAAGATGGTTGGTCTCTTACTCAGAAAAATTAAGAGACAAATGTGGGCCAAGTGTAGTAGCTCACATCTGTAATCCCATCGCTTTGGGAAGCCAAGGTGGGAGGATCGCTTGAGGCCAGGAGTTTGAGACCAGCCTAGGCAACATAACAAGACCCTGTCTCTACCAAAAATATTTTTAAAAGAGAGAGACTGCTGCGATCACAGACACAGCAAACCCAGGAGAGTTTATCTCAGATAGCCTGGGGTACCCCACTCACTCTGTTCTTGTGGTTATTGTCATCTTTGGGAGAACTTCCGGGGATCAAAGGCATGTCAGTTGGTCCAGTGGATTGGAGAATTTGCTGTTGTCATTTTGCTTTGTGTTGCTGTTGTTTTTTGATGGGTATGTTTTTTTCCCTTTCTGTTTTAAGGAAAGTACATGTCTTCTAAATGCACTACTACCTCTGACAGCATATGTCTGCCCTGTGGGCCAGACGAATACTTGGATACCTGGAATGAAGAAGATAAGTGCTTGCTACACAAAGTTTGTGATATAGGTGAGTCAGTCGTGTTAATGCATTAGTGGGAAGTGTGGAAACCTCAGTTTTTTTCCTCTGTATACACATTTTTAGATATAGCCAATGCTGTTTATTTTTTGGGGCACAGGAAAACTCTGTGGCCATGGACACCAAGAAAGATGCGTCCCTGAAGCCTTGTGTTAATTCTTCATTTAGCACATTTGTTCTAGAATATGTGTATGTTGTGGAATACATCATAGAGTCTACACAGTGTTCCCCCAAAGTATGTTGTGTCAATGAATTCTTCCCCAGTCCCTGGGAGGTCACCATACTTATCCCATTTTAAAGATGGAGAAACCGAGACTCAGACTGAATAACTTCTCCAAGGCTAACAGTTAAGAAGCAGGACTCAAAACCAGGTCCTGTGATTCTTAAGCCCTTTTCCTTAACCATATGTATACTTTTTTAACTCTACAGTTTGATATCCCTACCAGACTACCATAATTTTTTGCCTCAAAATTTTGTTTTCGGGATGGGAGTCTCACTGTGTTGCCCAGGCTATTCCTGAACTCCTGGGCTCAAGCACTTCGCCTGCTTCAGCCTCTCGAGTAGCTAAGGTTACAGATGTTTTTTAGATTATAGTTTACTGATAGGAATCAGGATCAAAATGTGTCTTTTAAATCTCTTAAGCGAGAGTTCCTTTCAGCTTATTTGTTGAAGAACCCACGGTGTTAGTCCCATGGTGCTTCCACAGTCTGGGTTTTGCCAGTGGCGTTCTCTTAGTGTCATTTAACATATTCTTCTGCCCCCTATATTTGCGGTAAATTGGTTGTCAGATCTAGAGGGCCGATCAGATTCTGGTTTGTTTTCTGGCAAAACTTCTTGGTATATAATATAGTCCATGTGTGTAATATGGGAATCCTGTAATAGCTGCTTATCCCTCTTTGTGATATTAGCAGCTGCTTATAGCCATGGTCTAGACCCATTTCCATCAGGGTCCGCAGAAAGCCCATGTTCTAATTCTTGAATTTCTTCTTCATGTATTAGCTGGCACGTTAAAAGTTTATGAAGAGAAACTTTCCTCACCAACTACGTATTGATACATAAAGTTACACGCATTTATGCTTCAGTGCAGTGTATACAGGAAGAGCAGAATAGATGCTCATAACTTTATCTATCACTGTTCAGAAGAATGACTTGATTCAATTGCTTTCTCCTGAGAATTTGTATTGCTTATAAACTCATGAATTTGGGTGTATTTGAGGTATTTCATCTCTTGCAGTTACTAGTTTTTGTGATGCTCAGTGCAATACAATCCCGGGCATCTTTAAGAGCTCCACTGCTTCCCTGGTCTATACTCCAGTCGGCCATTTCTCTAAGGATTCCTGAATGCTTTATTATATTATATTATTTTATTTATTTATTTGAGAGACAAGGTCTCCATATGCAACCCTGGCTGATTCTGAACTCCTGAGCTCAGGTGATTCTCCCCACTCAGCCTCCCAAATACTGGGATTATAGGTGTGAGCCACTGTGCCCGGTTCCTGATTGCTTTTAGTACATTTTATTTAGTAGCCTCAGTCTGGGCTCTAGGAAGACTCATTGGGACTGGATTGATCCTTGTTTACAGCGGTGTTTTTTGGTCTCCATTGGACAGAACTAGGAAATGAGTGAGGATTTTTTTAACACTATAATTTTTCTAATGTGCTAGAGATAGCTGGCCGATTCGGGCTGGAGACGGTAACATGGAAACTCCACTGAGCAGAAGCATCTGATCAAGTCTTATTTACTTCCCACTGCTTAGTAATGATCTTGACTCATGGTTGTCTCTTGGAAATAAAGACTCATTCTGTCTACTCCCAAAGTTGATTAAAACCCAAAACCTGGCACATTAAGATATCCTGAAAGATGTCAAAATTATTCATGACTACACCGGCTTACATTCACTTATATTTGAGTGGGACCCTGGGGAATATATAGAACTTTCCAGAGAAATGGCATGTGTGCATATACGTTGCCATGCATTGTATAAATGCTTCTGCATCTTGGCCTTGGGCTGCAGAGCTGACATGGGCCTTGGAGAGTGGTCATTGAAGGAAATGGGAATTTCTTGGGATTCACCAGGCTCAGGTCTAAAAGGGATGGAAATAGGAAATGTTCCTTTCTTGCTGGCTGTCAGTTGAGACAATGAAAGAGGGAGCAGGATTTTGGTTTGTTTGCTGCTTTTTCCTTGGAACTGCTGTAAGTATTCAGGAGTATAAGGTGCAAGGGCCATTTGGACAATCCAGATGTGCTGGAACCCTACAGGGGTACAGAGTATGATGTAAATAATATTAGTGTGGGGGAGCACCATGCACATAGGCACCGTTTATTCTCCTTACTCATATTAGCTATGTACTTTAAAGTCACCACAGACACTGAATCAGCAAATCTACAGCCATTGCTCCTGGGAGAAACACAGGGTCATGTTCCTGCACACCTCTAGTCACATTTTCATCGACTGATCAACGCATTGTGTCATTTTATGTGTGTTTCTGTTTATTTTTTATTTTTATTTTTTGAGTTGGCATCTCACTCCATCGCCCTCATCGCTGGAGTGGAGTGGCACATTCACGACCACCCAGTGTCGACCTACTGAACTCAGGCGATCCTTCCGTCTCAGTCTTCCAAGTTGCAGGAACTACAGGCATGAACCACAACGCCTGGCTAATTTTTTTAATTTATGGTAGAGATGAGGTCTCGCCAAGTTGCCCAGGCCGTTCTCAAACCCGTGGGCCCAGGCAGTCCCCTCACCTCCGCCTGCCAGAGTGCTGTGATTACAGGCTTGAGCTACTGCACCCAGTTTAAAGATACTTTATTTGATACATGTTGTTGATTCATGACCATGGCACTCTTGGCCAACAGTACTGCAGCTTGTGCTGTCTGGATGAAGTTTCTTTCACACGCTTCTTTTCTCCTGAAGGCATGCCACTGTCATCTTGCACTTAGGAACACTAGACAGTGCTTTAGCACATGCATGGGAGCTGTTTTAAACAGGGAAATCACCACCAAAAAGCACAAAAATGAGGAAAACATGGCACCAGAAAGACTGCAAAAAGGACACTTGTTTCAGTACACTGAAACAAGAAGGCAGAGCATCGCCTAGGCCAACCTCACCAGGACCCCAAGTGTGGAGTGACTCGAAACTTAAACAGTTCTGTGCATGTCACCGAGTGACTGCAAACGTGCCGAGAATATTGATATTGGGGTTACAAATAGATTTTATCAAGTGGGTGAATTGACACATATCAGTCTGCAAATAATGAGGATTGAGTGCTTGTGTGTGTGTTTAGTTTACAAGAGATCAATTCCCATGGACCTGCATTCCAGAAAATCTTCAGGGGACCAGGAGATTTGGGGTCTTAGGCGAGCATTTTGCAATGCATGTTATGAAAAAATAGATAACTGTGTTGTCCTGAGCATTTGAGGGGCGGTTAATTCCCCAGACATGTCATCAGACCCACCTCTAGATAAGTAGATAAGTACTTTCTCCAGCTATCTAACTACACAACGGCCCTGTTTTCTACTCTGGAACCCTTCAGTGTCTCGAGATGAATCCCAAATCTCCAGAAACCCTTACTCTCTTGGGTTCAATCTAGTGAGTGTTAAGAATATTCTTGACATTTGAATTTACTAAAAGTCAAGAGACTCTACACAATGTCTGACTATTCTGCATTAGCCAAAGCATTCATTGATCATAAATTTCCAGTCTTTATCTTCCTACTTCTGTGAAAACTGACTTTTAAAATATCCCGCAAGGCTGGGCACAGTGGCTCACGCCCGTAATCCCACCACTTTGGGAAACCAAGATGGGAAAATTTCTTAAGCCCAGGAGCTGGAGTCCAGCCTTGGCTGTATACTGAAACCACATCTCTATATAAAAAATCAAATTAGTTGGGCATGGTGGCACACGACTGTAGTCCTAGCGACTCTGGGAGGCTGAGGCCTAAGGATGGCTTGAGTCTAGGACGTTGAGGCCGCAGTGAGCTGTGATTGTGCCATCGCCCCCCAGTCCAAGTGCCAGAGTGAGATCCCGCCTGAGAAAACAAAAAAGCCCACAAAACTCTTCATTGTTAGAGAGAGAAAAAAACCTACTGGGACGTTCGGTGTCAGCACAGGAAGTGCGAAGAGGAACTTGGGAGTTCCTTAAACGGAGTGTCCTGGGTGATTCATTCTGTGAGCCAGGCGGGCGGCTGGAACTGCTCGTCTGAGCGGCTGGAGGCTGAGTGTGGGACAACGGCGGGACGCGGGCGCTGTGTCCGGGCCTCCTCGGTCTCCCGGGCCGCTGACTTGTCTCTTGTCTCCCGCAGGCAAGGCCCTGGTGGCCGCGGACGCCGGCAACCGCACCGTCCCTCGGCGCTGCGCCTGCATGGCCGGGTACCACTGGAGCCAGGACTGCGAGTGCTGTCGCCGCAACCGCGAGTGCGCGCCGGGCCTGGGCGCCCAGCACCCGTGTACGGGTTGGATGTGTGCGTGTGTCGGCTCTTCCTGGGCCATGCGCCTAAACCCGGGGCAAGGCGCGCTTTGAGGTTGAACAACGGGATCGTGATCGTCCCAGGGCGCCAGGTGGCACTGAAGGAACCGGGGGAGGGTGCCCTTTGATTTTCCGCCAGGTGTCGGCCAGACCTGGGAGTGAACCCCCCGCTTAGTTTCTTAGGGGATGTGAACAGCCCACTGTTCTGGCTATGTCCATTGCCCTGGGTGCTTCCATCTGGGAAAGCAGGGGTTGTCAGACTTAAAAAAAAAAAAAAATACGTTCACCCTCTTAGAAGAATTTTGTAGAAACCGTGCACCCCCTGGTACACGTTTTGGAGTTGACATCTAAAATTTTTCATTACAAATTTAAAGAGTTGCTGAGGACTTCCTTCCCAGGGAATTATAACTGCGGTAACACTTTTAAAAAATAATTCAGTGGACGCTAAGCACCTAGCAATTTGATATCCTCCATCGTTCATTTTTGAATGCACTCATTTAACTGTTGGAGATTTTACACACGTCCTTTCTCTCCTGTGATTCGTATCCAATCCACCTTATCACAGAATTTTTTACTAATACATTTTTATGCTTAGAGGGCTTTTACTAATCACCTTTTCTTACTCATTTACATTAAAAATATGCACCTCTTTGAAATCTTAATTTTTAAAAATGTACTGTGATTCAAGGTTCTCAGGGTTAAAAACATTTCTTCTGGACCGAGCTGTCACTACATTTATACTTACACAGTTGGTCAAAAATGAATGTTTTGTATTTTAATATAATCATAAAGTTTAAAAAAATTGAACTTAATAGTGAGTGGGATTGTTTTCCAATTGATGTATTTGTGGTTGAATATTTCTTATTGCTAAAAAGCAACAGGATTCAACATAAATTCTAGTCCCACTATTTGTTGTTATTTAAATGCTAAGAAACATATTCGCACAAATTATTAAATGGCTAAGAATGAAAACCTTTCGCTAAAGAATGTCCCCTGGTTCTTTCAGTACCTCTGGATTTATATGTTTAGGATCACATAGTGTTGTGACATCAGAAGCTATTTTTATATATAAAATTGAGAACTCAGTTATGTTCTTCAATTTTTGTTGAAAGTAAAGAAATAGAAATAGTATTTCTTTTTTTTCTTTCTTTCTTTCTTTTTAGTCTGCGTCTCACTCTGTCGCCCACCGCAGCCTTGATCTACTGGGCTCAGATGATCCTTCCACCTCGGTTTACCAAGTAGCTGGAACTACAGCAGCATGCCACCACACCTAGCTAATTTTTTGATCTCTACAAGAGATCAAAAAATTACTCTCTCTCTTCTACCTCCCAAAGTGCTGGGATTACAGGTGTGAGCGATAGCGCCCAGCTAAAAACAGAAATAATATTTCTTAAAATCATTTGCTTTCCCAACTTCTAGGAAGTATAACAAGGCAGTTTTTGAAGCAGTAGCAAATAATATGTATGCCTGTTAGTTGTTCACTTAGAGGCACCTAATTTTAACCCAGAATACTTAGGCTTGGGAGAATTAAGCTATTATTCATTTCAATTCATATTGGGGAAAATGTTCATCATAGAATCTCACTAGCACAGTCAGCCTTTGTTATCAAATGTAGTGACTGAGCCAGGCATGCTTTCTCTCTGAAAAAGTCTGATTTGATTTTTTTAATTATTAAAATGCATGTCCCTGGTGCATGTCAACGCCTTCTGAATTCTAAGACCAACAAGGCCCAGAGCCCTTGGTCAAGTCTGTGACCTGTATGACCCATCAGGATTTTTGCCTTTGGCCCATAGCCATGGTGCATTCTTTGACCACAGGGGAGATGGGAAGAGGTGGATGAATGAAACTTTCCCCTGCCCTACCTTGCCGTGTATTTGAGTTCAGAACAATTCAACTAGGTCCCCAATGCCCCATTTTTATTGCCCCCACTAATCGATAGGGAAAGACAGAACTGTGCTGAGAAGGTCTGAATGCAGGAGCCTTGACCTCAACAGTACTCAAACTTGTTACTTTGTTTGGCATCTGAGAGGTTTGGCACCACACAGATCCCGGGGTGGGTGAGAAGTTCCAGCTACTCGGAAGGCTGAGGCAGAAGGATTGCCGGAGCCCAGCAGGTCGAGGCTGCGGTGGCCGGGAACGGCCACTGCACTCCAGTCGGAGCAATAGAGTGAGAATCCGACTCAAAAAAAAAAAAAAAAGAAGAAGAAGTGTGCTTTCTTTTATAAAGTGGAAAAAGCGTGATTATGGAAGGGAGAAGGGATAGGAGAACCTACAGAATGCTCCTGGCGGGTATCGTTGTTAGATGGACAGCAGGTGCGTGGAAATTAATGGTGTTAACCCTTTGGGTGCCTTTTAGCCCCCGGGGACGTCTCTTTGTCCTTGAGGGCTTCTCACAACCTTTAAAAAAGCTGTTTGAATTAATGTGAATTATTAAGTATTAACTGGGTTTTTGTTAACATAGCTTCGAGGCAAATCAAATTGCCGGATCAAGGGGCCCAGTACTCTACTTATTGGGCCAAATTGCAAAAGTCAAGAATGCCCTTCCTACCTGATGTTGGACAAAGAAAATTAAATTCCTTATTTTAGTGTTTTGTGAAAGTAAATCACAGAAGTGCTACTAATTTGTGGTTTGGGCACCAGCCAGTGGCCTGATTATGGTATCACATGGTAGCCTGTGTTCTTCGTGGGATTTACCAAAGAGTCATTGTGTGCTGATTGTAGTAGAGGTAATAGACACAGGAAACCAAGACATTTCTTATTCTGACAACGTAGTTTATGAGGAATATGAGAGAGCTGAGACAGGCTTACTAACCAAGATCCTCTGTCCCACCACCATGTTTATAAATAAAGTTTTATCAGAACGCAGCCACTTCCACTTTTTAAAAAATATTGTCTATGACTGCTTTTATACTATGAGTAGTTGTAGCAGAGACTGTAAGGCCTGCAAAGCCTAAGATATTTATTGAATGGCCTTTTCCAGAAAATGTTTGATATCAACCCAAAGGTTCTTCTTCTTTTTTTTAATTGAGAAAACTTTCTTGACACTAGTATTTATACTGATGTAATTAAGTTCACCAGAGGGGAGCAGGACAGTAAGTTTTCCTTAAAAGCAATAATGACTCAGGCCTAACATCCCAGCGCTTTGGGAGGCTGAGGTGAGGGGATTGCCTGAGCCCACTGGTTCAAGAACAGCCTGGGCAACTTGGCGAGACCTCGTCTCTACAATAAATCAAAAAATTAGTCAGACATGGTAGTGCACGTCTGTAGTTCTGGCTACATGAAAGCCTGAGGCAGGAGGATCACCAGAGCCCAGCAGGTCAACGCTGGGGTGGCCATGAGCATGCCACCGTGCTCCAGCCTGGGTGACGGAGTGAGACTACAACTCAAAAAAAAAAAGAACAATAATGGGACCACCATTCCCTGCAGACAAAGGCTGGTGTAAGACATCAGCCAACAGATATATGAGAGCAGTAACAGCCAACAATCAGACTGGGAAACAAAGTATGGGTGACCAGGGCAGTGGCTCTGTCTGTTTGTTTTGCCTTGGAGTCTACCTCCATAGCCCAGAGCAAGCCTGTCCTGGAAATCAGATACTGGTGTTAGAGGCCTGACATTTAACATCAGTGGCCTTTCTGAGCACAGTTCTGTAACTCTCTGCTGGTGTCAGAAACTGTTCATGGTCCTGAGCCTGTAGGTGCCCAAACAATTAGACACAGGGCAGGGGTGCGGGAGCAAGGAGCAGAGAGGGGCACCTCCTCACTTCTGGTTCTGTGGAGCAATTTTCTGACCAATCTCTAAGTGTTCTTCTTTGTTTTTTGTTTGTTCTTCCTGTTTTTTTTCACAGTGCAGCTCAACAAGGACACGGTATGCAAGCCTTGCCCGGTAGGCTTCTTCTCGGATGACTTTTCCTCCACGGATAAATGCAAACCCTGGACCAAGTGAGTGACAACAAAAGAGTCAAAAGAGCTTGTTGATTTTACTGAGTCAAGGTCTCACTCTGTTATCCAGGCTGGAGTGCAGTGGCAGGATCACCACTCACCACAGCCTTGACCTCCTGAGCTCAGGAGATCCTTGCGCCTCTGCTTCCTGAATAGCTGGGACTACAGGTGCATGCCACCGTGCCCGGCTAAGTTGTTTTTTGTATTTTTTTTTTAAAGTAGATGAGATCTCACTATATTGCCCAGGCTAGTCTTGAACTCCTGGGCTCAAGTAATCCTCTTGCCTTGGTCTCCCAAAGTGCAAGGATTACAGGCCTAAGCCACCACACCTGGTAAGCTTGTTGATTTTAAACAACTCAGCCTTCACTGTCTCGCCTGGGTTGAACTCTGTGGGGTTCGGCTTCCTCTTGAAGCCATGTTCAAAATGGAAAAAGTCTGTCAGTTCAGTATGGGGAAAATAAACCAGTCAAACCAATTTTTCAGCCTGATGTGTGACAGGAACTTTGTGAGACTTTTTAGATTCGACAGTCTATGACTTACACCTATAGCTTCTCTTTTCCTTTTTCTAACCTTATTTGGTTGAAAATGATTTATGACACTTAATTGTCATTCAATGACTACTCCTCCTTTCCCAACTTCCCAGCATCAGTGGTTTATTCACCTAGAGATGTGTGTGTGCCGTATATGTGCATATAGAAGACTTCTGTTTATAGAAATGTTTTCACACTGTAAACCCTGGGTTTTTTTCAAATAATCCTATCCTGAAGCCCTTTTTATATAAGCTCACCTAGATCTTCCTGACTTTTTACAGCTACATAGTATTTCATTGTTGAGATGTACCAAAATTTGTTTAATAAGCTATTTATTGATAGTCATCTAGGTTGTTTCCAGTCTTTTTCAGTAATACATAATGAAGACTCTTTTATATACTGTTTCACACTTATCTGGAGCAGAATTCCTGGGTCCTTTCACTACATGCTTCTTGTTGAGTACTAATAATTAGTGTAATGATTCTTTCTGTTTCCAATATATTCCTTATTAAATATGTATTTTACTGAATCCATGTTTTATGTTAAAGAGGATTTCCCATGTTTTTCAACTTTGAAAGAGTAGTCATCAAAAGTGTATCACTTAGCCATGATAACCGAAGCATGAAATGTTCTTTACTGAAGACCCTGATCCGCTGGCCATACTCTCAGGGTAGTTCTCAGAAAACATGGCAGGGGTTGCTTTTGTTTACTTTTTTGTCCACCTTTGTGATGTTCTGCTCCCCTGTGGAAGGTCTGGGAATTCCAAAGTCCAAGAAGACGTGGGTTCTTCTCTTGAATACTCTAGTACAATATTGCATTTGTTTGTTTGTTTGTTTTTTATCGATAACATAAAGCCAAAGCACTTAACTGCTGTTCTCCCCTCCCACCCCTCAGCTGTACCATCCTTGGAAAGACAGTAGAACATCACGGGACAGATAAATCAGATGTGGTCTGTAGTTCTTCTCTGCCATCTAGAAGATCACCAAGTGGTATGTGTAAAAAGAGCCTGGTGGTCGGTAGATGTACCCCGGCATGCTTCTGAATCTTTCCAAATGACACACTGTCCCTTTTCCTGAAGGAGTTCATCCTTCCCTCTTTCATTTCATCCTGTCTGTGGTCAGCTCAGTATTTCATTTAGATCAGTATTTTAATTCCAGATTTGTGGTTGACTTGATAATTTTCTACACTGAATTTAGGATAGCTAGTAATATATTTATGTTTTTTAAAAAAGGGAAGAAAGAAAAGAAAATAGAACTGCAAACATAAATTAAAATGCCCAGTCCTACTAGGCTGGGGTAGTCACAGTGAGGGTGTCTATGGTCACTGGCCAGAGTTAGCAACTCGTTAGAATCTAGCTATCATTATTTTTGGAAATTTTGTAGATAAAATTAATCTTAGGTACAGTGTCGAAGACTCACAAAATTAACAGGTAATGGCGGAGGCTGGCGACTCTGTGAGTAGGACAGTGCAGAGGTGGGTCCAGATATCAGAAGAGGTGGAATAGGTGACAAGAAGACTTCATGATGAGGCAGGAGAACATAGGCCACAGAGTGGCAGGGTTAACAGGTTTGGTCAAGAAAATGAGGAGTTTAAAGCTGATATTTTAGGAAACAAAAAAACATTAAAGCAGTCTGGATGTGGCATCACACAGTCAGAATGTATTTGTATTTATTTATCTATTTTTCGAGTTGGGGTCTCACTCTGTCACCCACACTGGAGGGCAGTGGCACGATCACAGCTCACCACGGTCCAGAGCAGAGTTTTTAACAGGCCATTCTGCAGATGACATTAAAAATAACCGAAGAAATAAAAAGCTATCCTTAAAAAGATAGAAGGAGAAGAAAGGTGGGAGTCCAGGAAACCTGGCCAAGCAAACTGTGCGTAAGATAAAGGTTCTAGCAATGAAGAGAGCAAGGAGGGAAGAAGAAAATGGTTGAGTCCACATTGTGTTATGGATGAACAGCAGAAACACTTCACAGGGTGGTGGGGGTTCTGTTCTCATGACCAGCAAAACCCTGGCACCATGTTGCTATTATGAGGGAGATAGAGGGGACTTCCTCTTGCCTGCAGAGGCTATCTACTGGGGATACTGAGGGCTCTGGAGGTAAGCCAAGACAAAACTGGGTGGCGTGGTGAGCATGACTAGAGTTGTTCTAAAGGAGAAGAACAGTGGTCCGGGCTGACCTCAGGTGGAGTGAAAGTTGAGTGAACAGGGCTAGGCTGTGGCTCACACCCCCCCAGAATGTGGGTGCTCACTGACAGATGCAGTAGAGGGAGGAGGGGGGAGAGTTTCCTGCTTCTGTTATCCCAGACCGTCAGCCTTGATTCTGGGGTGTGATTTACGGGGTTTTCTTTTTAAATTTAGTAAAATTGAATAATAATCTCTAACACCAGATTTCTCATTTTCTTCCAATACAGAGCCCCAGAAATACTTGCCCAGTTTAATTATTCTGCTTCTCTTCATATCTGTGGCCATAGTTGCCGCCGTCATCTTTGGTGTTTACTATAGGAAACAGGGGAAAGTACTCACAGGTATCGTGATCGTGTCTCTTGTGGTTTCTTTTTGAAAATTAATCCTAAAATAGATACACTTCTAGGTAAACGTTTTGGAAACTGAGTAGATTGTCCACTGGTTGCCTGTGGTGACCTGCTTAAATAAGTACTGGAATGTGTTTTCACTTAAACTAAGGTGAAACACCCTTTATCTCTGATTTACTGTTCTCCAGCAAAAAGAAAGAAAAATTTAAAAACCTAAAAATACAACATTGTGCCTGTTTGTATATAAGCAAGCAAGAGTATTCTAGGAATACTAGAAATTCAGAAAACTGATGATTTGAAAGTATGGATTATGCAGCTTCAGATATATGGGGGGTTGTGTTTATCCTAGAATATATCCATTTTTTTAAAAGCAGGATTTATTGAAAGGACAGAAAAGCTCCCACAGTGGGAGGAGAACTGAAGGGTTTGCCTGAATATATCCATTTTTAATGCACCCATTTAAAATGTAGATAACATTTTCAGGTGAATGGCAAAGGGAAGTTTTAATTGGGGTGTTACTTTGAAATGTGAATCTCAAATTATGAAAATAAGTTATCTTATAGTCAGTAAAATTTAGTTGCTTATTCCTAGAATAGGCAATCAAGTGTTATCTTGTTTCTGGGGAGTGATTTTCTCACAAAAAATTGTTAGTGTCTTTAAACATCATATTATGTTTGACTTTTATACTACAAAGCTTAAAAAAGTGTCATTTTTTGAAAGGATTCAAGGCTTCATTTGATTTTGTAAGGATGTAACTTCCCCCTTTAATGTTCAAGATATTCTCTTTGAAGCACCTGCTGGTGCACCATCTTTTTCCATCTTTAGATCATCTGTGTTTGTATTGCCCACCTCAGCTTTGTTGTGACTTGGTCAGTTCTCCCACGTCACATCCATGACTAAGGGACTTTACTGAAAGATTTGCCAGAGACGGTGTTGAAAGGTGATACTGATCTGACACAGTGGTCAATAAAACTGAGCCTAACACGGAAAGAAAAATATCACATTGTCTCACGTATATGTGTAGTCTTAAAAAAAAAAAGGTTAAAGAGGTGGGGTGTGGTGGCTCATGCCTATAATCCCAACATTTTGGGATGTCGATGAGGCGGGAGGATTGCCTGAGCCCAAGAGTTCAAGACCAGACAGGGAAACATAGCAAGAACTCGTCTCCACATACACACACACACACACACACACACACACACACACAATTAGCAGGACATGGTGGTATGCTACTGTAGTCCCAGCTATTTGGGAGGCTGAGATGAAAAAATTGCCTGAGCCCTGGAGGTCGAGGCTACATTGAACCATGATCATGTCGCTGCACTCCAGCCTAAGCAACAGAGTGCAACCCTGACTCCAAAAAAAAAAAGTCAAATATACAGAGATAGAAAATAAAACAGTGGTGACCAGGGGCAGGGGAAAGGAAATGCAGAGAGGTAGGTATAGGATGAACAAGTCTAGAGACCTAATTGCAATACGAGGACTAAAGTTAATAATATTATATTGTATTCAGGATTCTTGCCAACTTTGAAGATTTTAGCAGATTTTGCCCCCCCCACACACATAAAATGGGTAACTAAGAGAGATGATAGATATGTTAATTTGCTTCACTATAGTAACCATTTTACTGTTTATATATATATCCCATACATCATGTCGTATATCCTAAATATGCACAATAAACTTTATTTTTTAAAAAGATGTAGGAAATCATAATACAAACCCCTTATCCTTGCTTTATTTTTCTAGCTAATTTGTGGCACTGGATCAACGAGGCTTGTGGACGCCTAAGTGGAAATAAGGTAAAGTTAAAATTTTTAGTGCCTCCTGCAAATACTTTCAACAGGTAGGCTTACGTCGCCGTATTCGTCACATTCCAGGGGTACCAAAAAAAAAAGTAGATATATTTTAAGAGATGTTTGCTGTCATCAGAAGTGTCTGGACGCTGATGATAACCACTCTGAGCACCTCTTGTAATTGCAGAAGTCAAATGTGACTTGCATTCACCTCATTGAGTATTACCATTTTAATACAGTGTTGTCCTTTCTTAAAATGTGTATACTTTTTTTTGGCATCCTCTGTAGTGAACCCCATTGCATAAGGGGCACTCCAGGTGTGGTGATCAAACCTCAAATCCCAGGTTGGATCCCTCCTAACAAAGCCCAAGCCCGTGCTCATTCCAAATGCCCGTTTCCTCTGTCTGAAATTCTACTTGTGTCGTCTCTGCGTACATACGTTATTCTTTGAGTACCAATCTTAATTGTCTAGAATAGATTTCTAGGAAGAACGAGCTGCATCTCTCCTTGGCTCTGCAGTCATTTTGGTAACTTGTTTTTATTTGTTGAGTAAACTTTTTTTTATTTGTTAAATTATATTTAGTTTCAAAATTATAGGAAAGTAGTGAGAATAGTTCAAAGACCTCCCATATACCCTCTACTCAGATCCACCAGTTGTTTATGTTTTGTCACATTGCTTTATTATTTGCTCTCTCTCTGTCTGTGTGTATATGAACACAGGTGTTTTTTTCTTGAGCCCTTTTACAGCGATTGGCAGACAGTGTGCAGTGGCCACACCCGGCCACCGCAGCCTCGACTTTCTGGGCTCCGGCGATCCTTCCGCCTCAGCCTTCCAAGTAGCTGGAACTACAGGCGCGCGCTACCACACCCAGCTAATTTTTTGATTTATTGTAGAGATGAGGTCTTGCCAAGTTGCCCAGGCGGGTCTCGAACCTGCAGGCTCAGGCAATCCACTCACCTCAGGCTCCCAAAGCACGGGATTACAGGCTGAGCCACCGAGCCCGGCTGTTGTGTATTTTTTTTAAAAACAAGGACATCCTTAGATATAAGTGTAGTACATTTATCAAAATCAAGATGTTTAACGGTGGTACCATACTATGATTTAACCCACATTTGATATTAAAATGTCATTAATTATCCCACTGTGCCCTTTAGATCTATTGCCTTTGATATAAAATGTATAAATTGTACATTTTATATCAGTGAGCTCATACCGATTTCTCTAATTCTGGTCCTAATACTATAGAATTCTTTCTAATTCTTCCCATTTCCACATTTGAATCTTCCCCTCCCCAGCAGCATGAAACCTGTCTCCTACTATTCTCGACATATTTCCTCATTTGCTCAATTCTAGAACACACAGAAAGTAGTTTCAGAATTGCTAAGCCATACCACAGCAAAACACAGAACTACTGACTCAGGTTCAATATTTGTTTATAGTTGGTTTTGTTTTCTGTACTTAAGTTGAGGGTATATAGTTAAAACACTGTGTTTGAAAGCTATTTGAGTTTGCTCAGCCTCTGGCTTCCGTGCGAGTGTGCTGTTCATCTGAAACGCAGCTAGATTCATCTGTTTCTAGTTGTATCCCATTTTAGGGCCCTCCTGCACTTGGTAATTTTAAATAACACAAATAATGTGGATGGTGAAATGTTCCGTCTGTACTTGTTATGGTGGAAATAATTAGTATCAACGCTGTTTTCAGCAGTGTTTAGCCGCACGTATTCTAATGAGTTTGGGTATTAATGCCTCTCTCTTCTGAATTTTGATTGGCAGGAGACCCCAGGAGACAGTTGTGTCAGTGCTCACACGCCAGCCTCTAGTCAGCACGAAGTGGGTGAAGGCATCTTACTGCTGACTCTGGAGGAGAAGTCGTTTCCAGAAGATATGTGCTATCCGGGCGGAATTGGTGTCTGTGGGGGAGAGTGTGCAAGAGGTGGCCCCTGTGCACAGGGTGAAGATGCCAGGATGTTCTCCTTGGTCAGCGAGACTGAGATGGAAGGAGACCCCTTCAGGCAGATTCCCATAGAAGACGAGTACTTGGACAGGCCCTCCCAGACCCCAGACTCTTTACTGCTCCTCACTCAGCCTGGAAGCAAATCCACACCCCCTTTCTCTGAGCCCCTGGAGGTGGGGGAGAATGACAGTTTAAGCCACTGCTTCACGGGGACAGAGAGCCTGGCGGATTCGGAAAGCTGCAACTTAGCTGAGGCCCTGAGCAGGACTGATTGGATTCCTGTGTCCTCCGAACAGTATTTGCAAAGAGAGGTGGAGGGTGGCAATTGCCCCCACCGGGGAGCCAGCTCCAACTTGGCAGATGGCTGCACAGGCTGCCAGAGCCCTCCTGGGGAGGGCCATGAACCTCTCATGGGTTCCTCGAAACGTGGACCCTTGCCCCAGTGCGCCTATGGCATGGGCCTTCCCCCTGAAGAAGAAGCCGGCAGGGCAGAAGGGGCAGACCCCTCTGAGGACGGGGCTGATGGGAAGCTTCCAGGCGCCACCAGGGGAGGCACCGGGTCTGGAAGCTCCCCCGGTGATCCGCCACCTGCATCTGGTAAGTGACTTTCCTGGTCTCTCGTTTCTAAGCAAAACGGCCTGTTCTCGGTACAGGGTTTGGGGACAGGTATCACAGACCATTTAGGAAAGAAGAAACCACCATGGAAAAAATTCAACGTGAGCCTTTCCTCCTCATAAGCGTCTTTATAGAATGAGTTTGGATGTGGTGCATGTGTTCGGTTGTGCATTGTGTCCCCTCCTGTGTGACTTCATCATTTGCCCCTGGGACCATTTCTGCGTTTGTACATGCTTCGTACCCTTTTGCATTCAGGCTTCTCATGATAGGACTAAACCCCAAACCCCAGCATTGACCCCTGAAAGACAAGACAAAGTCAACATTGACCTCGGGACTGGCCGAATCAAAGGCATTCCCCTCAGTTTTCTGGTTTTAAAGCAACTTGGGCCCGCGTACATTTCCCCCAGGGAAGCTCTTATAAATTTTAGGAGGACAAACAAAAGTGTTTAGTTAATCCTTAATTAATATTTATTATGAGTAGTGTGTTGGTTCCATACGAAATTAATGATATAGTAAAACTGTCTTTTAATGTTTTATATGAGAAGTCCCTTTTATATAACCACTATGTATAATATATTCATGGAACCAAGCAGATAATTTTAACAATTTAACATCATTACAGAGATTTATCACTGCAATGCTGCTGGTGCATGAACAACCCACCAATTATAATATTATAACTTTTTTCATGAGTGTAAAACACCATCTGTTTTATTATATAGTTAAAAAGGACTTTGCAGCTGTTAATGACGGCTTCCTCTAGCTCTGGGAATTATTTGTCATATGAGGGGTCAGGGATCCCTTTGAGAATCTTCTGAAAGCTATAGTCACTCTCTCCAGAAAAATGAATATGTGGATATACACTATTTAAAGGGCTTCATGGAATGCTCCAACTCTTAAAAGAAAAAAAAATCCCATTCATAGGTCACCCTTCTCCAGAAATGCTTCCCCCCCGCCCCTTTATTTAGCCTGTAAGTCGTGCTAGCAGCCAGTCTTTGAATTAAGATAATTCAAAGTATTTTGGAAATCAAAGTATTTTGAATTACTATCTAATAGATCTGGATAACTAGATCTGTACCTTTGCCTCAAGGGAGTGATGGCTCCTGGCTTTAATCTGTTCCCCAAGCTTTGCGGTTTTACTGCAACACAAATGCACTGATGTATAAATTCTATAATATCAATTCTCAGTCAAGCTGAAAGGAGGAGATATGTTTGGGGATATTCTTCAAGGAACTGGTATGTTTCTCCTTCAGAAGACCTCAGGATTTTTTAAAAAATTATTTTTAGGAATTTCCATGACTAAAAATTGGGTTAGGTTGTTCATTTGCAGTGTTTTACATCTTTCCTGGCGGTTTATTTTCTTCCTCTTAGTTATGGAGACACACAGAGTACTAGTTATTTGGGCTGTGGGGGCCAGAAGGCTGAGGCTGCATCTATGGCAGTGACAGGACTTGGCAGCACTGCCAGGGGCAGACCAGTTTTGCAGTTGGTGACACCAGGAAAGTGACATTGCCATTGTGTGAAGATTGTCAGCAGTTCTTGGAAGAACAGTGTTGGCCAAATTTAAAGAGAGATATACAGAGGATGCCAAACACACACACACACATACACACACACACACACACACACACACACACACACACACACATTTTAAGAAAGGAAAAACTGTATTAAAATTGTAAATGAATACAGGTCGCGTTTGACTTCTGCAATTACAAGACATGCTCAAAGAGGTTACCATCAGCGTCCAAACACTTCTGATTACGGCGAACTAAAAGTAATACGTAGATAACATCTGTTAAAACGGGTACACATTTTTCTGGCACCCCCGGTACATGTATTTTTTTAGTGCCGTGAAACCAAAAGTCAAATCTTTGCTGGCCTATAAAAGAATTAAAACAGTGGCCTAGTCTTGTTTTTCATTATCTTTTATTTCCCCAGCACGAAAACATCTAGGCACTGAAGAAAGGAATAAAAAGTGTGTCATCAACTAAGTGGTACTAATTTGCAAAAAGTTTATACTGCTTTTTCTGTCTTCATCTGGTGCTTAGCCATGCAAAACATCCATGGAGAGCCTGCCTCAGTCGGGCACTAGCCAGCAGGCCAAATTAATTTTCGCCTGAGGGGAAGCAGTCGCTAGATTGATTTTTGAGACTGCGCTATTCTCTGCACCATTACTTCTACATGAGCAGGCCTTATGGTTTCTGGTCCAAATAGAACTTTCTCATTCCTATTTTTTTTTTTTAATGGTCATAATTTATGTTCCGTAAAATGTGTGAAAGAGGGCGGAGCTCGGATGAAAGGTAAAAGAGGGGCCTGATTCCATTTGGTCTCCAAAAAGGCCCTGTGCTCTCAGGACTGGGATGAGGTGGCCTTTGTTGTGGGGTTTTTGGATGTTTATATCTGGATGTTTTTAATTATTTCTATTTACAACCAAGTCAGGTGGCTTCCAGAGAAATGACAACGAATGGGGACTTTCACTATAGGGAAGAGTATCACCTTCTGTCCCAGTATCTTGTTGAGGAGAATGATGATTTTTCAAACAGCTCCCTAAGTGTAGACAACTTAAAAAAAAAAGGCTCAATGCTGTTAAGACTATTTTAGCAATGCTATAACTCTTAAAAAGCAGGGAGAATGATTAGCAACGACCAGCAAAGGCATAGCCAACATACTTTTGGTTATGTCTTAAATAACTATGCCTGAATTTAGGTCTTAAATTGTGCCTAATCTTGATGACGTGATGGTTGCTTTGGTTACAGCCCTCTCACCTGGAGATTGGAGCATTCTCACTGGATCCCTAGAGGATTGTTATTCCATATGAAAGATACCAACTGTTTATGATTCACGTGTCTATCACTGGCCAATGGCTTGGTTTTGGCTCCTGAAGTCTCTTGGTACTTCTGAGCAGGAGAGAGTTGTTTATTCACTGGGCCCACAATACATCTTTATGAACACTGGCTTGCCTATTTGTTTTTCCAGCAAACCTTATTGAAGGTCTACTGAGCCAAAGAGATTTGGAAAATCCTCAAAAGCAAGCAGGGTTTAATGTCAGGGAGAGACACAAAAAGTCATGAGAAATCCATGCCATCCTCAGCCTGTCCCTCTCTGACCTGCGGCCTGTTCGTAATGAGTCTTGGGGTCTTTCTCACTGAGCCTGGACACTCACCCCCAGCAACACCCCAGCTCTAGTATCTCAGTATGTTAAGTCAATAGATGTTTATATGCTCATTCACTCATCCAGTCAGGAATAAACTTAGATGAACAAGAGACCACCGTTACCTGTCCGTTTCCCAAGTCACTCTCAGCTTCTCACTTCTTTGGTCTACCCTAGGGAGCTGGGGAAAGAGCAGGGACTGGAAGGATTGGCACTAGCTATCCTGGGCACACCTAGTGTCCTAGGCAGAGGAGGCAGAAATGACAGAGCCAAGGTGAGCTGGTTTGTCCTAGTAGCACAGACACTCCAAGGAAGCCACCTGGAAGCCAAGGGTACTGGACGATGAAGACACCTGCCTGTCTCCCCATTTCTCCCCCCACCTACCCATCCTCAGTCCCCATCCCTGGGCCCACTCTCTCTTGAAATGATAGTTCTGGACCATCCATGTCCATCCTGAGAATGCAGAAAAAGCCCTTTCCTACCCAAATTTGCCTTCATTCTCCTTCTTTCCCCCAACAATGAATAGTCCTCTACTTCGAACTTTCTTCATACTCCTGTTAGAATGCCATCCATAACCTAGTGTTTCACTTTTAGCTAAATATCATAAGGGTAGATAGTAGTTCGTTGGCCCTGAATTTTTAAGTTAAAATTGGTATTTTATAATTTGCACATTTGGTGATAATATGCAGTATTCATTGGTGCTAAATATCAATGCATCATTTCAAAATATATGAAAACTCTGGTCACTGTGTACCTGCCTTAATTTAGCCCGTCCTGTCTTCTGTCTGTACTAATAAGACTTATTTCACAAGAATTGGGTCCATAAGACTTTCTAAGTAATTTTCGAGCATGATTCAGAATGGAACTATTAAATACTCTTTCCCTTCCCTTATCATCATATACCCAGTTTCTTCCAAATGGCTGATACAGAGCTTACATTTCCATAAAAAGGAAAATCACATGAGAAGCATATGGGTTAAATATAAAATAAGTTGTTAAAAAAATTCCGAAAGAACCCAATGCAGCCTGGGTAGCTTGAGTGTATTTGTATATATTTTTAGTTCTGTTCCTTGGAAGAAATTCTGCATGACAGTTTGGTATTATTTGGCATAATTCTTATGATTTAATATTCACATGTTATGCATTTTAAACAACATAATAAGCTTTTGAGAAGAAACATGTGTTTATCTTGCTTAAAAATGTAAATTCTGTCAGGGATTTAGAATTAGAAATTCTGTGTTCTTAGAACTGAGTTTGTTTTTTCTGCCTGAGAAATACAGATTCCATGGAGCCTGCTAAGTACTTAGCAAAGTATAAACAACTTTCTCATAATAGGACACATTATCAATTCATTGTTCTGTTGACATATATGCTATTTTTAAACTCTCAAGTTATTAATACCCAAATATTTTTCTGGTTAAATCAATTAAATATTAATATTAAGTCAATTAATCCCCTTTAAATGTTAGAAATTCTTCAAAATTCCCAATCTGATGAAAATCCCAGGCCAGGCGTGGTGGCTCATGCTTGTAATCCCAGCACTTTGGGAGGTAGAGGTGGAGGTGAGAGGACTGCCTGAGCCTGGGGTTCAAGACCAGCTTGGGCAACTGAGAAAGATCTCACCTCTATAAGTCAATTATAGAGCCTGATGGTGTGGGTCTGTAGTTCCAGCTGCTTGGAAGGCTGAGGTAGAAGGATCACGGGAGCCCAGCAGGTCAAGACTGAGATAGCAGTGGGTGTGCCACTGCTCTCCAGCCTGGGAAACAGAGAGAGAGACTTCAACTCAAAAAGAAAAAGAAAAAAGAAAAATCCCCAAGTCTTTCTGGCT